TTCGACACATACATGTCGATTTTTGGGTCAATTTTCGACACCAACGTGTCGAAAAATATAAAAAAAAAAAAAAAAAAAAAAAACAAATTTCGACACATACCTGTCGAAAATTCTCAAAAAATCGACCTGTATGTGTCGAAAATTGTGCCGACGGGTTTCAAAAAAAAAAAAAACTTCAAAATCGACTCGAAGCTCAAAAAAGACATCGATACTTACCTTAATGTGTTCTCCTTCCATATATACTACCATATTATTGTCTTATAACTCCATTTTATAAGTTTTATGAGGTTTTAATTTATTTAGTTTTGAGATTTTTTAGAAGGGTTTGTTGTGAGGAAGAAGAAGGAAGATGTTAAGGAATTTGTGAAGAAGAAGATGAGTTTGAGGGATTTTGTGTGTTTGTATTGTAGAAAGAAAAATGAGATTTTTAATATTTGTATAGTATTTATTTTCATTAAGGGTATTTATGTCACTACTTATTTATTATTCAATTTTTATTTTTTTTGGTATTGAAATGAGAAAAACTTGGATTTGTTATAGTCATTCCCTTTCATTTATTGACTTTCTGGGTTTTTGCTGACGTACGATTTGAATCTTCGGATCAATGTATAGGGTTCTACGGCATCGTCGATTCTTGCTTTTGATCCGATTCAGCGCCTACCGGCGATTGCCACACTGTAAGTGTTGTACGTACTTTTTTTTTTTTTATAATTTTTTTTATTGATTATTTTGAGATTATATTTACGCATGCCTGCTTGATTTCTTGAAATAAAGATGTGTCAAGTTGTACCGAGAAATCGGAGATTAGTAAGTATAATTTCATGACAGATGCTATGTATCGGTTTCGTGTCGAATATAATACGTAAGTGATTACTTGGAATTGTTTGGAACTTTATAGTTCACCAGTTAAGACAATATATCATTGACGGCACATTAATTGGCCACTTGAGTTACACCTTTTGTTTAGAATGTATCCCTTTTATAGTCGTGATAAAGTGTTAACGGCAAAAAACACATTCAGTTTTTATATTTCCTTCTCTGGTGTTTTTTCATTGATTACTTTGAGATTATATTTGCGCATATAGGCTTGATTTATTGAAATAGAGATTGTTTCAAGTTGTACCGAGAAATCACGTGTAGGTGAAATTAGTGTCAGTATAGTTTCATGACAGATGTTATGTATCGGTTGTGTGTCTAATATAATCGATAAAGTATTTAGTTCGACTAATCATTTTTCAAGCTGCACTGGAATTGTTTGGAATCTTTTGCTCAACAAAACACCATATTGTTTTCGTTGTGTCTGCGTCTTATATTTGGAATGTATTCTTTTTGTCGTGATAACGTGCAAACGGCAAATATCATCATCTTCATTTCTTATATTATTTCATGATGTGGATTTTTTTTTTTTTACGATTGATCGATCAACAACTTACGTTCTAGTTTCTACCCATCTTCACCTTAAAACTTGTATGCAGGGATGGTAGGATAAAAGTAATTGGTGGTGATAACATCGAAGGACTTTTGATTTCCCCAAAGATGTCGCCATATTAATACTTAGAGGTCTGTCTTCTATGTCCCGTAATAACTCTCAACTTACTGCACTGAGTTCCTTCTCTGGTGTTTGACAGAAATTGACATTATCAGCTAGAAATCGTGATTCCAAAGTATCATTGTTAGTAGTACTTCTAATTATTCCTTGTTCTTATGTTCGTAGTTTCTGCAGAATCAAGGTTTCTTGGTTAGCATTACAAATGACAATATATTTCTCTTGATCTTGCGTTGTTGGTCAACTATGAAACTGATTTCTCGAGGTTTAGAATGCGCGACTCTGTTATCCTAGCACTTTTTATTGGTTCTCCCATAGCACTAAGTTGTATGCTATGCATTTGATCTACTAATACTACTACTTATTTCAAACTCTTAGATGACTTGATTCTTCTCAAGGTTATTTACTTTTATGGACCAAGAAAGTAGCGGATGTACTGTTGTATGTAATCTTATTTTAAGCATTTGTAGTAAATTCATTTTGTATTAAGACAAGACCATATATGTTAGCCAAAAGCTCACTACCAAAATATGCATTTATAGTCAATTCATTTTCTGGAATTTTAGAATGCACAACTCTGTCTTCTACTTTTCAATTCATTTTCTTGTTTTAAGTATTTCTAGTAAACTCTATGCTATTGGGTGCTGTCATTCTTATCAATCTTCTTTAAATAAGATATTGGGTGTTCGAGTTTCTATGAGAAGGTTCTTGAAACTTGTTTCCACTTGTTTACAGTGGCAATCCAATGTAACTGCTTTCTCTGTTATCAGTGGCTCCTCATTTGTGTTTGATATTGATATGAGCGTGAATTGGCATTGAATATTGCAGCAGCGCACTCCCTTCTATTGGTCTATTGGTCTTACGGCACATGAACATTTCTCTCTCTTTTATTCCAGGTATGTTGGCGATGAATTCGGATTGATGTCCGTTCTGAAGTAGGACAATGAACAGCTTTTGCAATTTCATTACCATCTATCAGATTCCCTTGCTGGTGAGTACTCTAAAGTCACATAAATATTTCTTTCTGAGAATTTTTTACGAGATTCAAGATCTTTAATTGGAATCTAATTGCACATAATTTTCTAAACCTATAAATTCGTCCCGAAACTCCATTATGTCGATAGCATGTATAATTGAATGCATTTGATTGATTTTATTCCAGTAAAAAGCTACACAAATTTTCTGTCTATCGCAACATCTGGTTGTAAAGCCTTTCTTGGTAATGATACATGAAGAGTATATTCTATTTTATGATCAAAGAGTCCACCCATTTATTTGATCAAGTTAACAGTTTATACTTTATATCACACCTTCTCATGAATCCCCTCCATTACAAGATTTATGCAATTGTTGGATACAAATTAAAATCACAAGAGACCCAAGTAAAATATTCTAGTTCGACACTGATCGCAATTTTTTTTCTTCCCTTTTTTGTTTTACATGTAGCTTAGAAACTTTAAAGATTAGGTTCATGTTCCAAGGTTTGAATTGGATCTTAGAAGGTATATTTGTCAGGTGCTTCTTGAAATTGTATTCGGACATTATGTATCTTAGAATTGTATTTTTGTCGTAACTTCATCAAAATTCTCAAGGTGTGATAGGCAAGTATTCCCTCTTAATGGTTATTAAGTTTCTGTTTCAGTTGTTGTATTCATTGCTTACTGGGCTTTTTATACTTCAGAAAGCTAGGCAGCTGTTTATAAATCTGTCGATAAACAACAGTTGCCGAAGGATGATATTCTAAGAAATGAGCTTCCCGAAGATGCTGCCCAAGTGAGTGAGAAATGTAACAAATTATTTTCTAACAAATCTGGTTTTTGTAACAAATTATTTTCTTAAGCTTTGTGTTCTTTTATAAATCTGGTTTTTGTAACAAATTATTTGCTTAAGCTTTGTGTTCTTTTATAAGGATGCTATGCTTATGTTCGTACCACGTGGCTAACAGTAAATTTGTACAGGTGACATTGAAATTGATGAACGTGTATACCTTTGGCCTCTACGGCATCCCATGAAGTAGATAAACAAGTTAAAAGGTATAGTAGATGCTGCTTTTGTTGATTGTGAAATCGTGTTTTGACAAGATATGGAGTAATTGAAGATACTCAATCTTATTATCTTGCAGACAAGAAAAATGAACGAGAACAATTGTTGGATGATGGTAGTGAGATTAAGCCCAGACTTAGAACACGGGAAGAAATCATTGCTAAATGCAGAAAATCACGGTGGAGCATTCTTATCAATATCGCTGCTTGATCTCTCTCTCTATATATATATATAACTACAGCCTGAAAAACACGATGTCCGAAGTTTCTGATTGCTGCAGAATTAAGCCACTCCCATCGGTCTGATAATCTTCCCGTCACACAAAAACGTAAAACTATTGAAAAAAAAAAAAAACAAATTCTAAATAACTGAACATGCGTGGCATACAATAGTTTTGCAAAAAAAAGCTGTAAAACAACATTCCAAAAAATCAACTAACTCTATTTACGAAAAGGGTTCAACATTTAATCGACTTACTTAAACCTTCCTTCTGCTGGGCAGCTGCCGTTGTGTTGTCCAACTTCTAGGTAAGTCGGCTCCAAGCAAAGAATTTACAGTTGCGAAATGCAGCTAAGACAGTCATATCAACAATCTTCGAGTAACAATTTAATAGATTTAATGAAAATTGAAAAAACATATTATCATCAATGCCGCAAAATATTATATCATCTTCCATGTCATTAATAATACAACTATAAATTACTATCACAAGCCTTCCGCAGTCTAATAATACAATAACATCAAACAAGGAGTAAACTTAACAAGTCTTGCAAGTTTTAACTCAAAAGTTCACCAAAACAGATAACTTAATATAAATATATCCAATTCTTGAGTTATAGAATGACTAATTCAACGTGCGGAGGCAACAGTGGTTCAAGATCTCGCTTTGCATTTTCACGCGCAATTTGCTTTCTTCTTAATCTGTCACGTTCCACACGAGAAGATACAGCACTGGGACTGGGACGGATTATTATTTTCTCGAGCACATCGCAGTTCTCCAGAATGTACTGGATAAAGTCAATATCACTCGCGCGACCATAATAACCAGAAAATTTGAACACTTTTAGGTGTTGGTGCTGAAACCTTATCACACCATTCACAAATGGTCTCACTTTCCTCAACTGTCGCCATTCATTCTGATAGAATAAATCAAATATAAAAAATAGATAAACCAAAAAAAAAAAACCTAAAGATGAAGATGAAGACACGTAAAAGATAAATCACCTACCTCAAAAAAGAATTCCTCCAAGTGAGGAGATGCCCTTGCCAAAGCAGCTAGTCTAATAAGACTTTTGTCACCGAGTATGTCATCATATTCGATGAACAACTTCTTCAGTTTAGGCATTTCAGGGAAATTGCAGAGCTCGTCAGTTTCTTGTCCATGTCGAACATATTGGTCCACCAGGTGCAAGTTAAGGGACTCCAATTGAGAAATGCAGCAAGACAGTGTGGAAATTAAATGCCTCAAAGAAATACTGTCATCGTCACAATTGCCAGTTAACTCAACTAGCATTGGAACATTCTCGAGCACAACTGCCTTCAAAGCCGTAACATTAAGCGTAGTAAGTCTAGGTGCAGAAATTTTAAGTGATTCCAAACCCATGCAATAGTATAACTCCAAGTGTTTTAACATAAGGGATGGACCACAAACTTCAAGCTTTGATATTTTTTTAGAGTAGTGGACAATCAATTGTTCGAGTAGCGGGCAGTTATGTAAGAACAACTCAATAGCTCTATCACTCACAATAATCATTTTAAAAGACAATTGTTTGAGTGACTTGAAGTCGAAAAGCATTCGAGGTTGTTGCAACTTAGGTTCTGTGCCACTGCACGGGCTAAAAAACTCTTCAGGAAAACAATAAAAGATGCCAGATTTCTCCATGAACAATTCCAACCTCTGAACTTGTCTGGAAAAAGCGAATTCAAGCCATTGAGTGATTGAATTCTCGGCTGTTATGTCAAAACGGAAATGGATTATAAATTCTTTCAAGGTGGTCGATTTGTGGGATTGGAGAACGGAGTTCACCCATTCCACATACTTGGATCCCTCACTTTTGAGTAACTTGATATTTTTTTTAATCTTGCGCAGTGAACTTTTAGCATCGAAATTGAGAGAGGGGGTGTGTTTCCACAAGTTGATCCAACGAGAAGAAAGAACACTAGTGCGTGCAGCTTCCTTGAGCGATAGCAAAGACAGTATATCAACGAGAATGTCGTCCGGTAACCGACTTATCCGATCACCATCACCAAAGCATCTCTTAGCACACTGTCAGTTAAACAAACAATAAAATAACACATCAGAACTAATCAATGATGCAACTCACCCTCCCCCCACCCTTGTTAAGTTCCATTGACTAGATTTTCTACTAACATACTCTGGTTTGCATAGTGCATACTCTTCTTTATTTTATCAGCAGGAAAATATCATAATCCCCACAAAAAAAAAAAATTATATCTTATTGCATATTGAAAGGGGAATCAGATATTGAATTAAATTAGCCAAAACATTGGAAAACAAGCCTTAATCTTGAATCTTTAACATATAAAAAAAAAGACATAAGTTTCGTCTTACACCAGATGAATTCCGAATTCCTAGTAAAATTAATTTTCACCACAAAAAAAAAAAAAAAAAAAAAAAAAAAAAAAATTAATCTTTGGTCTTTTACGTATAAAACACATCAGCTTTATTAAAAAAAATCACCTTCTTGGGTTGAAAATTGGAATGGATATAGACTCGCTTCCCACCCATAGAGCTTGAATCTTCGAACAGAAAATTGAGAAGATAAAACAGAAAGATAGATTATCGATCTCCAGACCTAAATAACAAATTTTGCTACAGTTGGAAGAAAAGCGGTTGTAATTTGTATATTAATTATTTTTGGTAAATATGTAAATTAAGTATTTTTGGGCCGTTCTTTGCATGAACGGGCCGGGCCAGGCCGTCTGGCTGGGTATTAAGGAATAATTATTTATTTATTAGTAAAAAATACTAACCAATTACTCCTATTATTTAGTTAATTATTGATTAGTAATTGCGAGTGATCTGTCCGAGTCCGACGATTCAGACGCCATGGGTAAGACGAAGCGAGTCGGAATTGATGATGATGATACCAGTTTTCTACCGATGAAGAAGAAGATGGTGTTCTGTCCTTTTTTTTTTTTTTTTTTTTTTTTTTCTTTGCATGAAGAACCCCTATTTTAGTTCATCTGAAAAAAACCCTAACTTAATTTGCTGTTTATTCTTCTTCTTCAATTTTCAACATGAAATCAAATTTTGTAGGGATCATGATATTTTCCTCTGGCTTAAATCAACTTTTCCTCTGATTGCACTGTTCATTACTTCCAATGGAGTCTTAAAAGCTTTTTTTTTTTTTTTTTTTTTTTTTTTTTTTTTTAAAGCCGGGGGCATAAAAATCCCTAATTTAATTTGCTGATGTGTTATTTTGCAACTTTCCTCTTATTGCATTGTTGATTAGTTCTAATGTATTGTTCGATTGACAGTGTGCGAACAGATGCCGTTTTCATGATGATCTGATAAGTCGGTTGCCGGACGACATTCTTGTTGATATACTGTCTTTCCTATCGCTCAAGGAAGCAGCGCGTACTAGTCTTCTTTCGTCTCGTTGGATGAACCTGTGGAAACAAACGCAATCACTCAATTTTGATGTTCCAAGCACATTAAAAAAGATTAAAAAAGGATCCCATGAACTGAATTGGGAGAGAAACAAGTATGTGAAATGGGTGAAGGACGTTCTCGGATCCTACAAATCGACCACCTTAAAACAATTCATAATCCGTTTTCCTTTAGGTATATCAGCCAAGGATTCAATCACTCGGTGGCTTGAATTCGCATTTTGCAGACAAGTTCAGAGGTTGGAATTGAACCTTGGAAAACCCCCCAACTTCTATTGTTTTCCTGAAGAACTTTTTACCCCGCGAGAACCGAAATTGCAACATCCTCGTATGCTTTTCGACTTTACGTCACTCAAAGAATTGTCTTTTAAAAGCATTATTGTGAGTGATAGAGCTATTGAGTTGTTCTTACATAACTGCCCGCTACTCGAACAATTGATTGTCCACTACTCTCAAAAAATATCAAAGCTTGAAGTTTGTGGTCCATCCCTTATGTTAAAACACTTGGAGATAGTCCATTGCACGGGTTTGAAATCACTTAAAGTTTCTGCACCGAGACTTACTACACTTAATGTTACGGTTTTGAAGGTAGTTTTGCTCGAGAATGTTCCAATGCTAGTTGATTTAACTGGCAGTTGTGACGATGACAGTATTTCTCTGAAACATTTAATTTCCACACTGTCTTGCTGCATTTCTCAATTGGAGTCTCTTAACTTGAACCTGGTGGACCGACATGTTCGATATGTACAAGAAACTGACGAACTCCGCAATTTCCCTAAAATGCCTAAACTGAAGAAGTTGTTCATCGAGTATGATGACGCACTAGGTGATGAAAGTCTTATTAGACTGGCTGCTTTGGCAAGGGCATCTCCTCATCTGGAGGAATTTGTTTTTGAGGTAGGCGATTTCTCTTTCGTTTCTTCGTTTTTTGGATTTTTTTTGTTTTTTATTTATTTCATTTTTGATTTATTCTATCAGAATACATGGCAACATCCGAGGAAAGTTACACCGTATAAGAATGCTGTTATAAGGTTTCGGCACCAGCACCTAAAAGTCTTCAAATTTCGTGGCTACTATGGTCACGCAAGTGATACTGACTTTGTCCAGTACATTTTGGAAAACTGCGTTGTGCTTAAGAAAATAATAATTCGTCCCTGTGGTGTACTTATCTGTGTGAAAGGTGGCAAATTAAAAGACGAGCAAATTGCACGTGAAAATGCAAAGTTTGGCCTTGAACCACTGTTGCCTCGCCGCGTTAAATTGGTTATTGTTTAGCTTAAGAATTGGCCTTTTTATATTGAAGTGAAGTCTATCCGTTTTCGGTGAAGTTTTGATTTGATTAAGAGTAATTTGCTTTGTTGATTTATTTATAGTTTAGATTCATGATTTTATTGTTGGTAATGTGGCAAACAATAACAATTTATTTTGCTTGATAATGAATCAATAGAAGTATACACTGTAACAATGGTTCCCAAAGTTGAACAGACTTCGCAGTTGCTACCTCAAGAAAGACATTAAAAAAATGGCAAATTCCACATCACCTCTGTAAATTTCTAATTTTTGCATTTATCCCCTCAAAATTTTTAAAAGTGAATGTCCCCTTTCTTGTTGCACATTGCTCCGAACTTCTGATGGATTATTCATCGGAATTGAGGATTTTTGTTGACCATCCATCTTTTGAATTTTTAGGGGGGAAAGTGCAAAAAACAGAATTTATAGGGATCAATGTGCATCTTGGCCTAAAAAAAGGTACAAAAATCAAATAAAAAAGTTTTAAATTTTTAGGGGGGAAAGTACAAAATACAGAAATTTATAGTGGTCAATGTGCATTTTGTCCTAAAAAAAAGGTACAAAAAAAAAAAAAAAAAAAAGTGGAGATGCGGGGTATCGATCCCCGTACCTCTCGCATGCTAAGCGAGCGCTCTACCATCTGAGCTACATCCCCGACTGATGCTACGTTTTCTTCTGTTACATTGATATACTTAAATACTTTGAAGGGCCATTTGATTAGTGTTGCCCCAACTTTGTATAAATATTATCTAGTCACGTTTCATAAGTTCACTATGAAATGAAACCATAAATTTGGTTTCTGATAAAAAAAAAAATCCATTGAAATATTCTAATTACAGAAATAAAATTTCATGGAATAAAAAATTTCTATTAAATTTTCATTAAGCCGAAGCCCAAGCAGTAAAGCCAACATCAATGTTAATTTCTTCGTTTAATTATTGGGCTGACCCGTGACCCGGCCCGCAGCAGTGGCTTTCATAATACCCTTTCCTTACTCAGCGGGACCCACGGCAAAATCACCCCTTTCCTTACTTAGCGTACAGAACGAGAAACCCCGATATAAAGTATAAACACCACTTTGAAACTAACGGGAAACCACACTCCGAAATCTCCAAACGTTCGATTTTTTTTTTTATTTGGAGAGGAAGGATTTAAGGAGGTTTTTTGAATTCCGCCATGTTCGCAAAACGTTTGTTGCAGAAGGCAGCTCATCGTCATCATCAGGTACCGATTGATTCATCAACTCAGTTGACTTTCATTCTTTCTTCTCCCAACTCAATCGAATTTCATTTTTTTTTTTTTGTTTCTGACTTTTTTCATTTTTGTTTTGATTCAGCGTCACGAAAAAGGTTTGCTGACGTCAGACGACTTGAATCTTCAGGTCAATGTGCACTATGGGATTCCTTCTACGGCGTCGCTTCTTGCTTTTGATCCGATTCAGCGCCTACTGGCAATCGCCACATTGTGAGTGCGCGCATACTCTTTTTTGTTATCGATTACTTCGGGTTTATATTTGCAAATATCGGCTTGATTTCTCGAAATAGAGATTGTTTCGAGTTGTACCGAGAAATCACGTGTAAGTGAAATTAGTGTGACTATAGTTTCATGACAGATGTTATGTCTTGGTTGTGTTTCGAATATAATCGATGAAATATTTAGTTCTACTAATCATTTTTCAAGCTGTACTGGAATTGTTCGGAATCTTTTGCTTAACAAAACACCATGTTGTTTTCGTTGTGTCTGCTTCAATTCCAATTTTGTTGGCTGATATTTGGAATGCATTCTTTTTATAGTCGTGATAACGTGCAAACGGCAAATATCATCATCTTCATTTCTTATGTTATTTCATGATGTGGATTTGTTTTTACTATTGATCGATCGACGACTTACGTTCTAGTTTCTACCCATCTTCACCTTAAAACTTGTATGCAGGGATGGTAGGATAAAGGTAATTGGTGGTGATAACATCGAAGGACTTTTGATTTCGCCAAAGATGTCGCCATATAAATACTTAGAGGTCTGTCTTCTATGTCCCGTACTAACTCTCAACTTGAGATGATTCTATGGGAAATCTGCTTTAAATTCCACCTACTGCACTGAGTTCCTTCTCTGGTGTTTGACAGAAATTGACATTATCAGCTAGAAATTGTGATTCTAAAGTATCGTTAGTATTACTTCTAATTATTCATTGTTCTTATGTTTGCAGTTTCTGCAGAATCAAGGTTTCTTGGTTAGCATTACAAATGACAATGAAATTCAGGTGTGCATAATTCTCTAGATCTTGCGTCGTTGGTCAACTATGAAACTGATTTCTGGAGTTCTTGAATGCACAACTCTGTGTTCTAAAAAAATTTAGAAGTAATTCTAGCACTTCTGATTGGTTCTCATCGTTCAAGCATACACCATAGAAATAAGTTGTATGCTACGCATTTGATCTTCTAATGCTACTTATTTCAACTGTTAGATCACTTGATTCTTCTCAAGGTTATTTAGTTACTGACCAATAAAGTAGCGGATGGACTGTTCCATGTAATCTTAATTTAAGTAGTTCCAGTCAATTCATTTTCTGGAAATTTAGAATGCAGAACTCTGTCTTCTACTTTTCAGTTCACTTTCTTATTTTAAGCATTTCTAGTAAACTCTATGCTATGGAGTAACCTACCAAAATAAGGTGCTGTCATTCTTATCAATCTTCTTCAAATAAGATATTGAGTGTTCGAGTTTCTCTGAGAAGGTTTGATATCAAGGGTGCTTCCACCACCATTATAGTTCTTGAAATTTGTTTCCACCACCATTATGGATAACTATCTAAAAACATCTCTCCCCTTCTCAGGTTTGGAATCTGGAGACAAGGTCAATAGCTTGTTGTTTACAGTGGCAATCCAATGTAACTGCTTTCTCTGTAATCAGTGGCTCCTCATTTATGTATGATACTGATATGAACGTGAATAGGCTTTGAATATTGCAGCAGCGCACTACCATGGGGTGGTTCTTATTGGTCTTATGGCACGTGAACATTTTTCTCTCTTTTCTTCCAGGTATATTGGCGATGAATACGGATTGATGTCCGTTCTGAAGTATGATCCAAACAGTGAACAGCTTTTGCAATTTCATTACCATCTATCTTCAGATTCTCTTGCTGGTGAGTACTCTAAAGTCACAGAAATATTTCTTAAAAGTGCAGGTGTACATTGTTTATTTCCTAAAATAAACCTCATTCAGTAAGATTTATTAGAAACTAGAACCATTGACCACTTCTGAATTGCTTCTGATAATGAGGGCTGTCATTGTGGAGACATCAATTCACCTCTAAGAATACTTAAAGTACATGCTCACAGATAGGCTCAAACTCTTCGTAGAGGCTGAACCAAAAAAAACTAGGGATAACTTAGACTGTGTTTGATTTTTTCCCCAAGATTTAAGATCTTTAATTGGATTCTAAATGAACATAGTTTCCCATTGAATACATTTGATGGATTATTTCCAGTAAAAGCTCTATTAATTTTCCGTTTGTCGGAACATTTGGTTTTAAAGCCTTATCCTGGTAGCGATGCATAGGGAGTATATTTCTATTTTACGATCAAAGAACCCACTCATTTACTTTATCAAGTTAATAGTTTATATCACTAATGTCTTAAAAATAACTTCCTGAAACTTCAATGACGAATTATTTTTAGCTAGAAAAGGTTAAAGACATGCTCTGTCACATATGATTATGCTTGTGATATCATGCTAAATGCAAATGCTATCTATATGTTTTGCATTCAAATGGTATACACGCACTTTCAACAAATAAGTTCGTGTTTTTATTTCACAGAAGCTACTGGATTCTCAATTTCTAGTCGGCAACCTATAGTTGGACTTCTTCCTCAACCATTTTCTTCGGGAAATAGGCAAGTTATGATTAGTCTCTACATCTCTTGCTCATTTATTTTTTTGTTAGAACTCAGCAGGCAATTTGTGTTTTTAAGTTGAGCGAATATCTTAAGATACTAAATGGTGACATGAAGGACCTTCAACAACTTTTTTACTTGCGCACTTGCTATATAGTTTTTTACTGAATTTCCCTTTTAGAAGCTTCGACTTTGCTCAAATCTAGACTTTTTCTGAAATGATAACAAAATATTTTTAGCATTTGTAGGCTATTGATTGCTTATGCCAGTGGGTTGATTATTCTCTGGGATGTGGTTGAAGCACATGCTATTGTTGTTCGAGGTGATAAGGTCCTTCAACTGAAAAACAAAGTTGTTCCTCCTAACGACGTAGACACCAGCACTTTCGACGATACACCTTCTTGTGACTTGGAGGAGAAAGAGATCACTGCTCTGTGTTGGGCATCTACTGATGGGTCCATTCTTGCTGTTGGATATATAGATGGGGATATTTTATTTTGGAATACATCCAAAGATTCTCCTATCAAGGACGAAGAAGCTCGGTTGTCACCAAATGTTGTCAAGCTACAGTTGTCTTCTGCTGAGAAGAGGCTGCCTGTCATTGTTTTGCACTGGCTGGACAACAGTAAATCTCATAATCGTCTAGAAGGTCAACTTCTCGTGTATGGTGGTGATGAGATAGGATTCGAAGAAGTTGTTACGGTGGGTTTGTCAAACTAAATTCTTGTCAGATATTACCTCCAGTCCCAATTATGTGATACCTTTTGATAATGACTACAAAAATGTTAAATATTGATGAAATGCTATTGTCCATCAACTGTACTAATCTTTATGAGGTTATCAAACCACACTCTATAACAAGCATAAAAGTTTGGTGTTTGTGAAATGGTATCTGCAGAAGATTTCTCTGAAAAAGTAATTGAGAAGGAGAATATTTGTTCTCTACATATTTGGTTCAGAAGAGGAGTTCTTTATTTATTAAATGACAGTAATCTAAGAACCTGGATAGTTTGATTTTCTGCAAAATCATTTTGATGTATTTTCATGCCTTTTTCCTGTTAATTTAATCTTTATAATAGTGAAAAAGCAACTACATTATTTTTTCAGAAAACCAAATGCCGTGGAGGCTTGTATACTATCTCAATTTTTGTGTGCTTTAATACACTTCACTGAATTTATAAAAGAATTTTCTGTAGTGGAAGTTCAAACTGATGACCCTACTACGCTTTAAAAGTCTGATATGTTCTCGGAATTTTTTTTTTGTTGGGCAGGTTCTTAGTCTTGAATGGTCATCTGGAATGGAAGCAGTGGGATGTGTAGGTCGTGTAGACCTCTCTCTTACTGGCTCTTTTGCTGATATGATTTTAATACCATCTGCTGGTGCAACTGGGAGTGATACAAATGCTTCTCTGTTTGTTTTATCAAACCCTGGCCGTGTAAATATCTATGATAGAAGCAGCCTTTCTTCCTCAGACTTGCAGGCCAGGATGGAACTACCTACCTCTGCTGTAAATTTTCCTGCTTGCATACCAACTATTGATCCTGTGATGACTGTTTCAGAATATTTTCATATATATGGAAGCATAGAAGCCTTGGTATCCAAGGTGATATATTATGTGATACCCTTCTTCTTTTGTCTTACGTTCCTTTATTTGTTCTTCTGTTATCCTGATTCTAAACTGACTACTACTCATGTTTCTTTGTCTAATTAGTTAGCTGCGGTGAGTTCAACACATACATTGCCTGGGAATAGAAAGTGGCTCTTAACTGGGGGTGTCAATAATAATATAAATTTTGGTGAAGATAACAAGGTCCACAGACTGTACGTAGCAGGCTATCAGGATGGATCAATTCGACTATGGGATGCTACTTATCCAGTTTTTTCGTTCCTTTGCGTTTTGACAAATGAGGTTAAGATTTAATTTATTTCATGGAACTTGCCAAGTTAAAAGGATAAAAAAAACTCAATTCCTTTTCTTTTATTGTTGCCAACAGATTTACGTGGCAACACTTAATGTAAGCTTTTGCTGATGAATGGCAGGTTACTGGAGAAAATTTGGATGATTCTAGTGCATCATTGACGACACTTGATTTATGCTTCTCCACGTTGAGATTAGCAGTTGGCAGTGAATGTGGTCTGGTAGAAGTGTTTCATAAATATTCAAGTTCTAATCAATGGAACATGCTTTCCCTGCTTTTATTTATTCTTCTCTTGGTTTGATCTCATAGGTCCAAGTTTACCACCTCTATGGCAGCGACGAAACAAGCTTTCATTTTGTTACTGAGACCAAAAGTGAAGGTGATTTAAACTCTATACCACACTTTCTCATGAATCCCCTCCATTACAAGATTTATGCAATTGTTGGATACAAATTAAAATCCACATGTATATGGCCCATAGGCTGCTCTATCATTTCTTCGATTAACTCGATTGCTGTCTATGTATTAAAATTATGATTGTGATGGAGGACTTCGTATGAGCTACAGGAGCACAACTAATAATTACATTAAGAGTGATTCCGAAGTATCTACTTCTGTTTTCGGTTAACATAATCCTGTTTCTTAGGAATTACAAGCAATTATTGTATGATTAGATTACTGTTACTTTTAATGATTGCATGTATAATATCAGGTCCAGCAACTGAATTATTAAAAGATCATTAGAGAGCCAAGTAATATTATAGACTTATTTTTTTTTTACGTGCCAAATGTAGCTTAGAAACTTCAAAGAGTAGGTTCATGTTCCAAGGTTGGCCGTATTATTGGACAAACTTGAATTGGATCGTAGTATGTTGTCTCAACTTGATGTAACCATCATTTCCTGCAGTTCGCAGCTCTGCTAAAGTTCAAGGACCTAGGCGTGGAGCTGTTTTCAACATTGTAAAATCAGGAGTTCAGGCACTGAAATTCACAAATGATGGCTCCAAACTTATTGTTGGATATGAATGTTCTCGAGTGAGTAAGATCTTTCTAGGTTCCAAGTCAAATGATTGCAGTAATTACAAATGTGGGCAAGTTGCTCATTGTGCTAAATCCCACTTCATGCAGACTTCATGTACATGTTAATTCGTATTGTGGCCTATATAAACTGCCTTTGTTTCAGATTGCAGTGCTGGATGTGCATTCATCATCTGTTTCCTTTATAACAGACTCTATAACCGACTCCCCAGTGGTATCAGTACACTGTAAAGCTATTGTTTATGAAACGGCTAAAAATAATAATGAATCTGCACAAAAGATCCCAGATAACTGTAGAAGAGAAGCTATATTCATATTAACCAAGGATGCAAGTATCTATGTTATTGACGGTAATAATGGTAGTATGATTAGCTCAAGGCCTGTCCAGTTGAAGAAGAAGTCAACAGCAATTTCCGTGTATGTTATAGGCAAGTATTCCCTCTTAATGGTTATTCAATTTCTGTTTCAGTTGTATCCATTGCTTACTGGGTTTCTTATACTTCAGAAAGCCAGGCAGCTGTTTATAAATCTGTCGATAAACAACAGTTGCCGAAGGATGATATTCTAAGAAATGAGCTTCCCGAGGATGCTGCCCAAGTGAGTGAGAAAAGTAAAACTGAAGACCACCCTTTGGACAAAATTCCCTCCACACAAAGTTTGAAAGATTTATATGTCTTGCTTTGTTGTAAGGATTCAATACGTGTACACCCTGCCAAGTCTGTGGTTCAAGTAAGTGTCTCTTGTTTCTCATTCCCAGTTTCTTTGATTTTATTTTTCATTAACTTAAGTTCTACGGTTTATCAGGGAGAAAGTAAATCTATTCATAAAGTCAAACTTTCCAACCCCTGCTGTTGGACTACTCTCATCAGAAAAGATGAAAAAGTTTGTGGATTGGTCGTCTTTTATCAGACAGGCGTGATGGAGATCAGGTAATTACTTCATCGAATTTTCTACTTTGTTCTAGGTTACATCATATTTCCACTATCACAGGCTCCAAGAATTCCATCCTGCAAGTCTTATTTAGAATTTTATCACCAGTCTTAACTTTAAAATCTAGCGTTTGGATGTCTCCCAATGACATTAACTGGAGTTGCAGAAATTGACCGGAAAAGATGTTGTAATGTCTGGTCTTATGCAGATCGTTACCTGATCTGGAATTGGTGAAAGAATTTTCTTTAACGTCAGAGTTAAGGTGGAATTTCAGGGCAAACATGAAAGGGATGATCAGCTCGACAGAAAATTCGCATATTGCATTGGTAATGCTGCTATAATTGTGTTGTTCCATGATAAATAATTCTGTCAATGTTCTTTGGGTTACCAAACATACTTCGTTTATAAGCTTAAATGTGGCTAGTATAATTGTTAAAAGTTTTCTAATATCCAAGTGTTAACAGAATGTTTTATTGTTCTTAATTTTTTTATGCATCTCTACTAAAATATCTTCTAATGCTGAGCATTTCGCATAGGCAAATGGCTATGAAGTGGCATTTATTTCTGTACTCGACGGTGACCATGATTCAAGGTATATATTTATTATCATGTCCACCGGTCGACGCTGTTCCAGCGGTGCTTATTGGGCAATAGACAAGGTTCAGGATACGTTGAATTAAGAGGGTTTTTTTTTTTCATTTTCAGGATCCAAAAGTCCCTGCCTAGTCTTCATGATGAAGTGCTTGCGGCTGCGGCTAGTGCTGCAATTAGTGCTTCCTCGGATCTCAAGAGAAAACAGGTTTGATGATTGATACTGTTGGTTTCTCAATCATTTATGCTTTGAATCTTTCTCTAATTTTGTACAACTGCTTGATTTGGCACTACAGGGAGGCAACACTGGAATTCTTGGAGGTATTGTAAAAGGATTTAAGGGGCGGAATCAAAACAAATCAACGAATCATGGCTCCAACTATAAATCTGATTTTAGTCACCTAGAGGAAATATTCACGAGGAATCCATTTCCAGAGTCATCAACACCTACAGATGAACAGGAAGCTTTTGAGCTTACTATAGGTTTCACGTCTATCTCTGCCTTTTTTGTATTTTTTTTTATTTTTTTTTTATCTAACAAACTATTTTTTTTAAGTTTTATGTTCTTTTATAAGAATGCTATGTTTTATGTTCACTCCATGTGGCTAATAATAAATTTGTACAGATGACATTGAAATTGACGAACCTATACCTTTTGCATCTACGTCATCCCATGAAGTAGGTAAACAAGTTAAAGGTATGGAAGTTGCCACTTTTGTTGATTGTGAATTTGTGATTAGACAAGATATGAAGTAACTGAATATATTGTTATTATCTTGCAGACAAGAAAAATGAACGAGAACAATTATTGGATGATGGTGGTGAGATTAAGCCTAGACTTAGAACACGGGAAGAAATCATTGCTAAATACAGAAAAGCTGAGGTAATTTATGAGCTCTTTGAGCTATCAGACTTGTTGCCACATTGGAGCATTCTTATCAATATTGCTGCTTGATCGTTTGTTTTTTTTTTTTTTTTTTTTTTAAATTCCAGGACGCCTCGTCTGCAGCTGGAGAAGCAAGAAACAAGCTTCTGGAGCGCCAGGAGAAACTTGAGGTGAACTTATCTGTGATCATTATAAAAATGTGAATTTCATCCAGTGTTAACCACGACACTGGCTCATAATGGAGGCTATTATTGTCTTTTTTCTCCAGAGAATCAGTAAACGAACGGAAGATCTTCGTAATGGAGCCGAAGACTTCGCATCATTGGCTGGCGAGCTTGCCAAGGCAATGGAAAACCGGAAATGGTATCAAATATGATAGCATTTCATAGAAGTTGCTTCATCTCTTTCAGTTGTCCTCTACGTGTGATTTGCATATTTTGGTTTCAAGTGAAGCTTTGTGGTTACAACTCATGAGAAATGGACATAATTTATATCAATCGGCTTATTATTCGTGGTTCTCATCAACATGGAAATACAACCCAGTTGAGGAAACTGGAGAGAAAGGCATTCTTTCGTTTGTTTGTTTTCCCCTTTTTTACTGTAAATTATGGATGGCCTAAAGATGATACCGCGGATTTGCCTGCAACAGCTTGGAAATAATTACTTATTGGGTGAGAGGATTTTGTAACCGGTGCTACAGATCATGAGCGTTCATAATTCTTTGTATTTACAGTGTAAATAGTTGTTCCATGTTTCACGAGACATCGAACATGTTTGAATTAATTTTTTTTAAGTGGATTTCAAGACTTGTTTTTTCGTGATCAACGTCGATTTGAAATTCATCTCAATTAGAATGTAGAAGATGGGTCATCCAATCAACCGTTGGATCACATGTGGTCCCACTGTAATCCAAGGCTCATGATCCTCATACTACGAAAACCCAAAATCAGGCAAGTCAAAAATTCACAATATATGGAAAGAAGTTTGGTGTTACAGAGATCCTGTTGTGACAGTAAGAATGCCAATCGGGAGAGTTGTTTCAAACCTGGAACAAAAAACATACTAATATACCGACTAAAACAAAAGTTAGAACCCAACAAATTATTCATCGTAGTATAGGTAAAATCATAGTTCTATCGGAACTTAAAATCCATCGATCACTCTTGAACTAGAAATCCTTCTAGCAACAAGTTCTTTCAACTCTATCTCCCCAGGGAACCTATTCTCCTTCAGCTTAGAAAATACCTGCATCGTACATATCGAAAAGTTCAGTACTACTCGGGATAAAAATAATATCGTGCTAAAAATACAATTCCAATAACATCTGTTTTTTGAATTGCAAGTACAGGACAGTTCGCAACAGAGTTGCTTCAATCTTACCAATACTGAACAAAATTCGAACGCAATCATGCAAGAAAGACATTTTGAATCACTACAAATAAATGCTTTTCAGTCTTACAATCACTCAACATAGGGCTTTACTCGATTATGCAGGGGCTAGGCCAGGAGTAACTATAAGCATCTTTTTTTACCACAGAGCATTGTTAGATTTAAAACCCCTAAAAGCTATGTTAGATTTATGCTTTTGCTAATCGTAATCAAAGACTTTTTTTTTTCTTTTTTTAGATTGGTCACATTGATCAAGATTTTATATCATTTGCTTCATTGTATAAGAAAATATGTCGTAGATATGTTTCTAGCACAAAATATTAACACCAACTACTGACGAAGGATGAGAGGAGCATTACCGGTTCACCATTGCAGTACACTTCAAAAGCACCTGAACTCTGCAGGAAGGACTGAAGGAAGTTTCCAAGCAGCCAAGTGCTTGCCATACTCCCAAACCTATTTGCACGCATGGAATAGTACCACTGCGGTGGTGCAGCAAACCCTAATCTTGGGAAAATTTGTTCACCACCCACTATAATTCCAATCACTCCAAACTGAAGAACTGGTACCAGTTTGCTCAACATGCGTTTGGGTAGTGTAGGAGGATAATTTGCAAGAGCTACGTTGATTCCAGGAAACTGACTTTCTAGCATATTCTTCATCGTGACTGCAGTCCCTCTGCCGAAATGGAAGTCATGTAAATGTATCAGCGCATATTAACAAAAAAAATGGATAATTAATTTTGCATGCTCCACATATTCTTTGACCTTTTCACCATCCCTTTGCATCATCTTAGCAACTATGCTTCTAATCTTATCGAGTCTATGTTACGAAGATAATGAACTTACACAGCCAAAATAATAAATACTTCTAAAATGAAATATTCATTTATGATTTTCAAACACGTAAATGCATATTACTACTGAGCAAATGTTGCTTCTAAGCTTATCAAGTGTATATCTTCATTGCTGCAATGATGTAGGTTTTCTGTTCTTATGAACAATCGTGATAGTACAAACTATGAATTAACATTTCGTTTATTCTCACAATAGTCTTGAAGTATAGCATCAGAAAGCAAACATGAAATACGGAAAATCAACAGTAAAATTTGATCAACAATGGCAGAAAAATAATTTATAAATACCTGTAAGAACAAGAAGCACAAAAGTCGATGCTAACAGTGTTTCCAAAACCTATCCCGCTAGATTTCTGTTAAAAAAACACAGTAAGCATAGCAAAATTGACTTTGTATTAGAAGACGACGCTCTATTCCGATCTAGAGTACTTCTCACAGTATAAATTCAATTCAACGATTAATATAATAATCAATAAAATTAAATCTACCCCCAAATTTATTGAAGATATTAGGTCAAACCTGAGTCGGGAACTCAAGGGATGGATGTTGCTGCTGGATTAGGGGCTGTGAATCGGGTTGATGGTGGTGGTGCTGGTGGTGGTGGTGAGGAGCGCCGGGCTTAGACGGCGGCGGAGAAAAGAGGTTGAAGATGTCGGAGCAAAAGAGGAGGAGTGGTAGCCCCACTAACAGAAGTTGTGCCCGATCCATATTTTCGCCGGAGCTCCGATTTAATTGAATCGGATGAGAAGAAGAAAAAGAGAAAGTAAAGGCAAATGTTAATACAGAGAACTCCATAAATTAATAGTGGGAAAATTACAGTTTTCACCCCTCAAGGTTTCAAATATTTCATATTCGGTCCCCTATGTTCACAAAATACACATTAGTCCCTCATATTTCAATAATTTAACATTTTTGTCATTTCCGTCAATTTACCGTTCGTCTGTCCGTTAATTCAGGCTTGATTCTGTTAGTTTTGACGGAAAATTGATAAAAATAACTAAATGTGTTGATTTTTGAAACATGGTGAACCAAATATATTTTTCGTGAATATGAATGACCAAGTGTGAAATCGGTGTTAATGCGTTGAAATATATTTGGAGTAAAGTCGTGGCTGATGGTAGCACTTTTGCTATGTATCATGAGAAATGTTATTCCAAAAAATCAGATATTAATAGTTTCAAAATTCAGAATTAATCACTATAAAAGCTTCTGTTCTCTATCAATCCATCTCCCCCTCTCTCCGGGTCGAGGGGGACCCGAATTGAACATTCAAGTTATTATTCGGGTTTCCAATGGCGGGTAGGGTTTTATCAGCATGTGGAATTAAACCCCTCCCTCAAAATTTTCCCAAATCCAAAACAAGTTTCATCTCAAACCCAACAAACAACAAGTAAACAAAATTCCCGATCGCAAATTCACTCTTCACTCTGCACAAGCATCCAATTGGGTTTCGAGAATCAGCAAAAATGGTTCCGAGAGTGATCGCCCCATCAAAAATTGAAAACGGATTTGATTATGGGGCAGCCCCACCGTTCAAATTGGCTGATATAAGAGCGGCCATGATTGGTGTGTATATTTCTCCTTTTTTTTTTTAATTCATCATATGAAGTATTTATCATTACATTATTCGGTGTAATTGTTGATTTGATTTATCGTAATTTCTGTTGTTAAAATTTGATTGCTGTGGGCCTGTGGCCATGGGAGCTTTTCGAATAATCCCAAGTTGAATAGTGTGGTAGCCTTCTATCGGATTAGTTAATTCGTTTAGTGAAGATTAGCATTAATGAACTGATTCATTCAACTTACGAAAGATTTAATTTTATTTAATTTATTAGTTTTTGAATGTTATATAGAAGAATTATTCATAGAACTCATCATCAAAACCATGGACATGTTGAGAATGACGAATCATGGCATCCGGTTAGTTCAACTTAGCATCGCTCGTCGTTTCTCGTTATTGGTTTCCGTATTTAATCTCTTATTTATTGATAAATCTTAGCTGCCCGAGAAAATTTACAAGAGTTTGAACAATATAACCCGAAATTTACGCTTCCCATTGCCTTTCTACCTAGTAAGTGTTCTTCTGCTTATTTATTAATTATTTATTTCCAAAAATCCAGTTTGTTATGATGATTTAACTTTTTTCTTTTTTTTACATTCTCGTAGTGGAATAGAATTTTTGGAAAGACTGGTTCTCACTTCGATTCAAACAGTGCCTTATTTGTCCCGAACGAAAAGAAAGATGTAATAACTTCAACTATTCGTTGGACAACTGGCTGCTTTGCTTATCGGTTTGTCCTTCGTGATTGGTCTATTGAAGCAATGAAACTATACGGCGTACCATATTGGGTAATTTCCAAACTTCAATATTAATTCTTTTTACGTACTTTTTGAGTACAAACAAAATAATTATCCATCCAAACGGTGCATCTTACTTGACGATTGCAATTCTGTTTTAAGGGTTTTGTCGTGTGGCTCGATTTACTTACCTACCTTCACCACCATGATCATGAAGATAAACTCCCCTGGTATCGCGGAAAGGTATTTAATATTCTTGCTTTTCATGCCTTTATTAGTCTTTTCTGATTGGCTGAAAAAGACCGTATTTGTTCCGATTTTCCTTAGCAAAAGGACAAGAGGCGAAAATGGATTCCTTTTTAAAGTCTGTTTAATAAAGGTTCGGTTTTTTTTTTTCCTTCTGTTTTTATTAAAAGGGCGGAAACGTAATTTTGTAGACAAGGGCGGCTAAGCCTGTGTTGGGGAAGTACTATAGGGATCCAAAGAAATCAGGGCCGTTGCCTATCTATCTCGTTACCGATTTCGTGAGAAGTTTGAAGCGAGATCATTACGTAAGCGACAATGGCGGCGAGATGTAGTTTATTACCCAAACCGACCCTGAAATTTGGACCTCTGTTAAAATCTTAATTGATAGTGGTAATATATGAATTAGATGACAGGAAGAAATTCGAAATTTTCATTCATTTTAATTTATCTTTATGAATTGAGCAAGATCAATATCATGTGAGTATTTAATTTCTTTATTTTATTTTATTTAAATGATACGGTATTATTTTTACGATATGATAACAATTGCTCTACATAATGATGGCCTTAATTGTGAAAGCCCACCCACCTTAATTAAATACAACCTTCTAATCAGTTCATATGTAACTAATTATGCTGATATTGCTGCAGCCATTTATACATGTGTTGGTAATCTAATTATTTATTTTATTTTGACTTTAGGCATGAATCACCACAAAGATCATTGACATCTACTTTTCCAAGATTATGTAATAATGATCTAAGTTTGAAATCAATTATAACCACATTTTACCAATTATTATCACAACAATAATAATAATCCAAATTATATGAGTATGACATATATATAATCATTTTCCTTCATTGAATTTAATTTCTCTAATTATATTTTTACCATTTCCCACATAAAATAAAACACCACTACAATATTTTATCCTAGTATCGATTTTGGTTCATAACATAAATTTAATATTTTTTTTAAAGATTATATTCTAAGCTATATAAACTCATATAACTAATTCTT